TTTTTAGATAAGGTATTCACCTATGTTTTCCTGTCCATTTTAAGGTACTTTGAAAACTCAAAATGTTATTTCCTACCTCCAGGCTAAAATTTCAGGATCTTCCCATTTCTACTCAGACAAATTAGAGTTCAATTCAACTCATGCAAACCAGCCCATCTGAAAAAGTTACAGTACTCCTTTTTACTTTACAAAGCCTGAGGCTTTCCTAATTTTGTAGTAAGCTTGATTTTTAAAACTGTATTTGTACAGTTCAAATGGGAAGAAACCAAAAGGCTTTTCTTCTGCTAACAAGGGCTTGTGTAACGGCATGCTGCACTTTGTTTCTGTTACTATACCAGAGTGTTTCTACTTTCATCAGTCTCCATGCCAGTAAAAAGACACAATAAAGGAATTCAGACTCGATCAAAGTTTACTGTGCCCTTTTCAAACAGAAGATCAAGGGTGTTTCTAAAGCCACAAAAGAACATTTGTAGCAAAGTTTTTACCACTGCAAAATACTATGCTAATAGCAAAGCTTTCAACAAGAGATTCATGGGCTGCCACATTCAGAAGATGATTAAGATACGCATCAGACCTATGAAGAAGGGAACAGGAAGTAGAGGAATGGAAAACCCAGCAACCTTTCCACGTACTGTAAGGCAGGCTGCTGCCTCAGGGCAGAACTCCTCACAGTCACTTCCTTTAAGAGCTGAGCAGAAGTAATCCCTTTCCAGTATTTACAGTCTCACTTGAATTTAGCACAATGCTATAAATCTCACCAAAAAGCTATTCTGATGATCTTCTAAACTGTCTTCCAAAGAGCTTTTCAAAAAGAGACTTAATTCTTTAAATAAGTTTCTTTAAATGCCAGGATTTTTATTATGCCAAAATAATTTATGCCTACACATTTACACCTACACAATGGGATATCTGACCAGAACCTGGCAAATATTTATCTTCCCCAGCTATTTATCAGCATTCACTTGGGTACCCAAAACACAAATGCAACTGCTTCAGAGGCAAAATGGAGCTGATGTAGTTCTTAAAAAGCTGTTTGTTTTTTTTGGTTGTTTTTGTTGTTGTTTTTTTTTTTTAAAGTGTGCGCGTGTGTGTATATATATGGAATATTTTTATGCCTCTATTTAAAATGGACTTCTAGCAAAAGACAGCTCCACCTGTTTACACGCAAAAACATACTGTTTGGGAAATGCATCTAGCTGAAAGGGTTAAGGCAAAACTTAGATGTAACTACTATGTTAGTAACATGGTTTCAGTGCATTTATAGCATCCTGTAAGGAAGGGTCTCAATGTCAGCATGCCCACAGTAAGCAATACCAAACAAATACTCCCCAGAAGTCAATACTGGCAGCATTACTAAACTCCACATGAAATTACATCTTCAAAACCCATATACCCATGTTATGTATTTATGGATGGAACGGATTAAACAATAAGTAAACCGGATGTACCACGGGTAAAGCCTTTATGCTGGCTGGAATTCTGCACAATGCTTTGCCTGCCTTCTCCAGGGCTGACCTCAGAAAATCAAGTATGCTGCATAGCTACAAAGCTCAGGTTTTGTTCCGTAAACAAAGGGCAAAGCAGGTCCATAGTTTTGTGTTCTAGTTGGTTTTATGGACCATCACTTGGCACTTTGTCTCCCTCTGTGATGTAGTTTCCCAAGACTTGCAATTCTTCTTTAAAAAAGAAACTGGATTTTCTGAACAGCTTACTAGCCTGCGTCACTTGCTGAAGTTTGTAACGACAACGTAGTTCTTTCACTCACAAAGTGGAATGACAGATAAAATACGCACTTTCCTCGGACATAAATGGAAGAAAAAAAGAAAAAAAATGCAAATCTTCCTTGAAGGTGGTATAAGACCACTTAATGGTCCACCTGAAAACCTAAGTATGAGACGGCTACAGAAAAAGGAGAGAATCCTGCTCTATTTATAAATGTCATGGACCTGGTCTTAAATTTGAATCTGGGCTTGCTCCAAGAGTCCATCCACCAAAACTTTCAACAAAACGTTGCCAGCTCTGCTCATCCTATCTTCAGCCACCTTCTTTCTACACTGAACCCTTCTGAAACAGTCAATAGGACTTCCATACATCCCCACTATCACTTTCCTTGATACAACTAATAAAATGAATATGCAAATCAAGAGCACCTGAAAGCCGCATTCCAATCTACTCAGCTCAAAAAATGTGGCCAAAATTGTTGATTTCCTTTATTTCTATTTCTTCTCCTTTCTCAGAACTCCTCTCCTCTCTCTGCTCCTGCTGATTTCAATGGGAGAAGATGGAGTTCTCAGTGGCCTGCAGATATTTGGGGGTGTTGGGGAGAAGACATGTCATCTTCTACAGTTCTCCTACTCTCCTTCCCTCTCAGGAGGAGCACACATTCAAAAGATACCAGAAAGCGAAATTTTGAGCTGTGTGTCCTCCCACAACTGCCAGAACTCCTGCCACACGCAGACAGGCAGAGAGAGGAAAGCCGGGTGTCAGGCACGTTAGCTGCAGAAGAAACGTGGGCAAGCACACGCACACCTCTGAGTAATGAGAAGCCTTTCAAAGTCCAGAAAACAACAAAATTTATTTTCCTTGCACTGAAAATACAGAAACAGGATGGGATTGAGTTTCTCATTGCTGCAGAGGGCTCCCGTGCTGCCAGTGTCACACATGATGCAGTTTTTCAGGCAGGTGGCCACTGCAGGAGGGCTCGGCTACACCAAATGGAATTCAAAGCTTTGCTTTCAAATGTAATTCACTCCTTATTTCCAGGGGGAAAAAAAGCAAAAAAATAGCAATAAGGAAAATACTCTTACCATCTGACACAGCTGGTCTTAGTAAAGAGAGTAAGAGGCAACTTTCATGCTAGAAAAAACTCTGACATTTAATATTAGGGCCATAAAAAACTCAGAAAATACCCTAAGTGTTGGGAAAAACAGTGTACAATACACCGAGATCTTCCGATACAGGCAGAACCTGAGGTAAAATAATAAAAACTCACTTATAAGCACAGAGCAGAAAGAGTGAAAGCATTTCCCTTCTCTCCAGCCAGTGTTGCCTCACATCACAGCTGCAGTGGAAGCTAGGAGCCTTTCGACTAAACACAGCAATCGGGATCTGAACAGGCCACTAGAATTTTTCCTTCTCAGCAAAAGCAGCAATTGATAAACAACACAGTTTCCAGCTTCCCTACAGAGTGTTAAGGTGTTCTGTAGCACGATGGCTGAACAACACTGTAAAGATGCAGATTTGTTCTAAAATGTCATTAATAAATATGTGTCATTGGACAATGTGACATCTGGGCGTGAGTTTCAGGTTTTCAGCATTTATGCTCAATGAGAAGTTTTGATTTTGGTGACTGTAGTGCCCTCCTTTCCTTGTTTCTCATTTTATCCCTGCTTATCATTTTCAAGACTGCCTTGAATTTTATTTCTCCCTCTGAAGTTTAACTACAAAGTTAACTATAAAGTTAAAAACTGATTATGATTGTAGTACAAGATAAATACAGAATTCAGAAAATAAATAACAAAATCCTATAAAGATTATAGCTACAATTCAACCTGTATTGCATCCTCCAAACAAAAACAAGTCTCAAGAATGATAGTGCCAGAAATTTGTTTCGCCATCAACTCTTAAATGTTTCTGCATAGCGCTATATTGGGTCCACATATGAAATGTAGGCTGCCATCAATAAGTGTCAGCTAATATGGTTAAAAACAAGGTTATTGCAGCCTTCACTGGATACCATGGGAAAGGGACGCAGAGGAAAAGGTGTCTGATCTAATCATTCACACAAAGCAGCAAAGATGGTAGATGGACTGGTACCTTTCAAAGACAGGAAGTAATTACTTTTAAAACAAAGTTGATTATTTCTTTTTTTTAAGGCACATGAAATAGAAAAACAGTAGGGATTCTTAATATTATTATGGTGAATACTCAGACACACATTATCAGCAAAAGCTTAAACAAGATTTTATCTTTTACTGTGCCTTACTTCCTTCAGACAAATTTGTAATAGCCATCTCACAGCTGCTCCTTTTCCATTTCTTTAAAACAGCTTACAGCATTACTGTTACACAGATCTAGTATTTCTGATTAATAATCTCCTAAATGTATGCTCTAGGTATTTGTAAAGACCATACAATATATGAAATGTTATAGTTGTTAAGAGTTCATGAGTTGGCTGTACATCTAATTCTTCTACAATATCTTGGCAGTTTACTCTGGAGTCCCAAATAAAAGCCTATCATTCCTATTCTGTGAGGACCTTTCCCTCTTGATGAAAAGTTCAGCATAAAATACTCTTAGAGTACATAAAATGCAAAAAAATTATTGCAGTATTGAGCAGTATCATTGTTTTTATAGCCTAATATGATATCAATACTTGCATTTCACTGAATATGGTATATACTGAGAATGAGGTTCTAAAAAAGCTCTTGAAAGTCATTATGTTATATTCTGTATCTCCAATATTTTGAAGAATTCAGGTTTCAAGAGTGCCTAGACATGGTTTTCAGCTTAAACTCTCTTGAGCCAGGCAGTCTTACCTCACATAAACCTCACTACCTACGTAATGTAATCGCTACCTGTATAATGTAATCATATCCAACTTCCATCAGATCAGCTGCTATTTGCAATTCCTGCTTCCAGGACACAAATCCTGCTGACTTTTTAAGAATACCCAAATTCTCATGCTTTGCAGAATAAAGACAAGCAGCATTGCTAACGATTTGCATGCCTTTAAAACCCTCCTTCATAGAATTCCATTGCTTCACCACTGCTTTCAGTCTTTTTAAGGTTGTTAAATTTAAAAGAAAACACTTGTGTCTCACTTACATACCAGAAAGATCCTATGGTAGTCACGATGTTCACCTGAAATCTGTTGACAAGGATGGGGATGGGCCAAGCATGGGGATGAGTTTTCCTCGAGAGGGTTAAGTGGAAGAAAAGGAGCTGACATCATCTTTCATATTACCACTATGCAGGGAAGGGTATGTCACACTACTCACCCATGATCATCTTAATAGGTAAATTTTCTCTGCTTGCAGCCTCCACAAGGTGTCTCCTAGCCTCCATCACAGCTTCCTTTTGTTTGAGGTTCATGAAGGACTCCCAGAGAGCTTTGGCAGCTGGATCACTATAAGAAAATGACAGGGTTACACTAAACATTGCTTGAATAATGCAGTAAGCTTAAGACAACATTTATATTTTAAGACGAGTGCTTCTACTTAGTAACTTCTCCGAGGTGGGCAGGATACAAGCAAAAATAAAGCGCTATAAAAGCTTTCTTTTTCTTAGTGGAACAGTTGCTACAGTTTTACAGGAAAAAAAATCTAGAATGTTTTGCTATTATAAAGCATTAGAATTCATATATAATAAATAAGCATGTCAGCCTCAAAGTAACCACTACTGTTAAACCATGGCAATATTAGAAACAGTCCAAACTTCTTTAGTTACCAAAAATCTATGGAAAGGATGGGCTCTAACTTCCCCGTGAGAGTTTAAATCCCAAAGCCAATACTTCCAATGCTGAAGGCTGCTGGTATGATTTGATGAACTACCATCACGTTGGGTTTCATGGATTCTCCTTACATGAAAAGAATAACCCATAGCAAAACGCAACTGTCCTTATGGTTTCTTTATTTACGGATTTCCTTTTTATTGTTGCTAAGCTTAAATTAGGAATTTGTGTGGCTCATCTGCATTCAGTTCCCTGTCAGTCTTCTCTCTCCTCCAGGACACTGCATCTGTTGCTGTCCTGAATGAATTCAGTGTTTTCTCAGTGAGGGGGGAGGAGAAGGGAGGAAAAATCCCTCGCCTGGGGCTAAAGCCACACATTGGGATTAACTGTGTTGGATTTTTTTTTTTTTAACTTATTTTCTTTTTTAAAGAAAAAGCTTCCCTCTGTTCTTTCCTCAGGAGACATTTAACTCCTAAATACGTTTTGATGTAATTTACAACATGCTTATAAACATGCCAAAACAAGCGCTGCTTCACGGAAAATAAAAAAACTCAACAATTCATTTGATACCCATTACAGAGCAGCTGTGCTTACGCTCTGCTGCAACAGCAGGGCTGTGTTTAGCAACCTGTGCTATCTCCCAAACCAGGTAAGAGGGTCACCAAGCCCCATTCCTGTCATCCCAGTAACCCACATCCTCTGTCAAGGCCTGTGTGGGTGGAAGGACTGTGGAAAGAAGGTTGAGTTACCCTGCTTCTGAACAAACCACAGATGAATAGGAAGAGCAAATTTCATCCTATGAAATTTGAAGGATTTTCCTTTTAAGAAAGGAAAAATCAGATGACCTGACACAGTCTTTCCATTTCTCTTTCACGTAGTGCAACTCGACCTTCCTCCAGTGACGGAGGCAAGAGGCAGCACATCCCAAAGCAGCCCCGGCATCTGCAGCAGCTCCCTCTACTCGATCACCAAGTGTGATCTGAGCACTGATGCTGCACACTGTTCATGGGCAGCAGCTCCAAGGGGATTCCTCACAAGAAAAAGCACACTGATTTATAATGTACGATAGTGTAAGAAATAGGAATGAGATTTCCAGCGCAACCAGATGCTTCAACACAATCTCCCTTAAGTAATGGATCCTTGGGTATGCTATTTTTACAGACTATCTACTCAATTATTATGATTTAGTCTTACCCACCCAGCATCACTTTTAAATGCAGCCTGTTGATCCTGTTCACATCACATTCACAGGGTACATTTCACTGTCATTTACAAGCACGCGTGAGGTTTGGATTGCAAGAGGCCACCGCTTTGCCTGTTAGCTAATCCCTTCCTAAACATGCAGCTCCAAATAAAAATCTATAGAGATCAGGAATCAGGCCTAAACCAGCAGGAAGCTATTTTAAAAAATATTTTTCTTCCTATTTGAAAGAAAAGTCAAGCTTCTGTTTTCTAAGATTTTAACCTGTTCTTATTTTCCCAATTCTCTTCATCACCACGAATATGAGCAGTCTCTCTCACATAAACAGAGACACCAGGAGCTAAGACTTTAAAACAAAGGAAAACAACATAAGGAAGCTAAAATAAAAGTCTCCCAAATTTTGCACAGGTTTTTGCAGTCTCATCTTTCTCAATCCTATACTTCACAAAGATATTTAGCAAATAGTAAAGTGTGGAAAGTTCATCCCAAAAGCATCTATAGACCTCAGTAAAAGTCAGGATGTATGTGATAAGGTTGCACCATTTTTCTACCTGTTGTCCTTGCTTGCTGCTCTCCCTTTCCATGCCACATGTTGATCAGTCCTGTCAATTTAGACTCCGAGGTCTTTGAAAGCAACATATACTACACTTGTATAATCACAAGTCCCTGTTTCAGCTGGTACTTCTATTTGCTACTAGTTTAAACAATAAAAACCCTCCAAAATAACAGACTAATTATTTTAAACTAAAAAAAAGTAAGAATGAGTCATACTAATGTACTAAAAAAAAAATGGAGGGGGGGTGGGAGGTTTGCTTTTTGCTTTGTAAACTTTCTTCCTCCTTTAGTCACAGTAGGTTTTCTTTAATCCCAAGGACCTAAGTTTGCATGATCCCTGAAGGTTGCTTTAGCACACCAAAAATAACAAAAAGCAAAACAACTGTGGTACAGCCTAAAAGCAGATGGGGGTCAACCACACTCCTATATGCTTGGATCTCTGTGTAATCCACCGAGTTTCTGTAGACATTTTTCTTCCCACTGCTTTGCAGAATACCTAGTGGTTTAGGTATCATATATAGAACAACATATAAACAGGATGAGATCTATATATATTAATAGCTCACATACATAGCCAACTGACTAGGTCAACCCACAGAGAGCAACAGTTCCCAAGCTCAGCCATTTTTTTTGAAATATAAACCAGAAAGAGCAACAAAAGTATTTGTATGTTTTCTGCTGAAAACACTTTTCCCACTCCCCCGCTATTACACCTTCAGAGAAGGGCTTTTACTTTACTTCATCAATGACAAGACAGGAATGGCTGCTGGGAATGAGTCAGTAGGATGCAGTCCAGAGCTCTGGTGTTGCCTCTTGCCTGATCTGAGAAGTAACCACAACATTTTCCTTTTAGAGATTTCTAACACTCGGAAACAGTATTATCTTATCTTCCCCTTTTGGTGAGACATTTGTCTGCGACTGCCGTCCAGCTCTTGTCATGGTGCCCTTCCCCTCCTCTTTTTCCCAGCAGTTCCTCTGCTTTGGTTCAAATGCCCTAATCCAATGACACTGGTGCTGTAATCAGTGTTTTGTATGGGATCCAGTACCCCAATTCAAATTTCTTCTTCCTCTTGCAATCCTTGACTTCCCAAGGATTATTTATTGATTTTACACATTATCTAGTGAACTGCTGCACTCTGAAAGTAATTTTCTGAAACTAAGTAAATTTTTTTTTTAATATTTTATGCATTACAAAACCTTTAAAGGTATCATCGGAATCACATTGTTTTGCTTAAGAAAAAATAAATTCTTTACAGTTACAGTGCAATACAGATCAGGAACTCTAAACCATCCTTCAAAATAAATGTCACAACAATAGGTAAGTATTACAGTGCACACTTCTGTGCATCTCTATCACAAATGTTTTGCAGGGCACGGCAAGCCTGACAAAGAAAAGAGAGCACTAAAATTTAGGGGCTTCTGCCATTAACCAGTTTCACCAACAAGCTTAGAGTTTCGCGCACAGGTTTTGACACCCTGTCCCTTCCTGTTATCATTACGGTCATAGTACCTAATCAACCAGCCATCTCAGAAAACAGAATATAATAAAACCAAGTGTAGCAGTTATCTGGTAGACAAATTAGAAGTTTATTAAACAAAAACATTACGTTATGTCCAGAGATAAGGCTGAAGTCTTTGAAAAGCCCTGTTAGACACAGCTATACCATCCGATATACATAAAGCAAGGGTTTTGACAGACATCTGATAATTGCAAATTTCTCCCTTCCTCTCATACATAAACGTTACATTTTTTTAATGAGCCATTCTCTGTTCCAAAACTAATTAAAATTTAACTGCATATAATTTGGACTTTAAAACAACAACAAAAATGGTTATAAGGGAAGAGGAAGAAATCTAGACACCTAAAAGATGCAGCTTCCCTACCTCTGGTATTTGCATGCCAGTTTTCAAAGCTCAATCACAAAGACAAAGAGGGGGAAAGGACCAAATCATCAGACCTATAATCTATACAAATCCTAAAATGAGACATCAGCTGGCAGTACTGCCAGGAAACAGGTGCTGATGAGAAGCAGGTCAGAAAGACTGGGTGTTCTATGCTGACCAAAGATAGCTGCAGGCGGTTCAAAGCAGCTCTGATTTGCAGCCTCCAGAGGCACTCTTTCTTTAATTAAAGATAGGAGAGATGGAAAAATAAAAATAAAGAATAGAACAAGTTAGCTGGGAAGTGGCTAACTAGCTGGCTTCCCAAATTTACGATACCCAAAGGAAAGACTGCTCAATGAAATCTGCTGTTCACTGGTAGCAAGATGCCAGGGTGAAAAAGCCAAAGCCTTGAGCAGAAGTAAGGGTGCAGTTTGGTAAGCAGTTCTTCTGGTGATTGCGTGCTGGCTTCAGCAACGCTCACTCTGGGGTAACTTGTTCTCATTCCCATGGCACCCCTTTCAGCTGTGGCAACACGTTCCATGTGGGACTATGCATTGAGTCAGATAGAAAAAAGTTGGTAATTTTTAAACACAACTCAGATCCCTGAACTAATTTGCTTGATCTAGACATTTACAGGTTGATAATCAAATGCCTAATCTTGCATCTGTTAAAATAATTGTAACTTAGTCTCTTGATCTGGTCTGGTCCAGTCCTGCAAGGACAATACTGCCAAGGTTATCTGACAGACAGAAAGTGCCCCTATCTGTGATCATCTGTAGGCTTAGTCTCAAAGCTACTCATTTTGAACGCATCTGGGGAGAACAGGGGAGGTTGGTGGCATTGGGATGTGCTATTACCAAGTTGGAAGTAGTAGTCTGGAAATAGGTGAAATCAAGCTCTAGTCAATGCAGAACAAACTCTCAGGGGAGATGCAAACCTAAAAGCAAAGACAGAAACCTGGGGACACTTATTACCCCTGGGCGGTCCAACACACACCACCACAATTGTAGACTTGGCTGAAATGATATGCCTCTTG